TCAGAAATGGCAGAACCAGGATTCAAACCCAAGTATATCTCCAAACCCTAACTCTTCACCACTCTCTAGAGGAGAAACTGCCCTAGTCTTCCCACCACTATCCACATATGGAGAAACAGCAGCTTTACATGCTAGTGCACTGAAACTTTGTGTGAATAATGACTTCTCTCATTCATATTTTAGAGTATCATTCCTTCAGATAATCAAGGAAAGCTATCTGTAGGTACTACGTAGGAGATTTAAATTATGTAGCTGGTGAAAGCATTCAACACAAAGCCAGTATTTTATTTTATTTTTTTAAAATATAATACCAACCACTCTAGCTTAAGGGGATTAAACATGCAAAACTATGTAAATCCCTTAGCATGGCACATATGAAGAGCTCAGAAATGGTGACTATTTCAAATTGTATTCTTACTATAGTTATTTAGGGCACTGTGTATTACAGTTATTCATATATTACATATTCCAGGCATGGCCTCTCTAAGTGACGTCCATTCTACAATCCGCTACATTTTTTAAAATGATCTTCTCTAACTCAAATCTTTATTTATGTGTTCTTTATTTTGTTTTTGTTGTTGATGATGATGATTGTATTTCATTTAATAAATTTTTGATTTGCTTTTTTCTGCTTATTTTGCCTTTGGCCCAGTGATGGGCCATGGTGATTTCTTAGAAGAGAAGGCCCTCATAATTTTTTTTTTTAACTATATTCTCCTGTGGGCAGAAGAACCTGCCAGGGGGCTGAGAGCCCAGGCTTCCATAATGACCACAGTTGCCTGTGCAGTTGTGCTCAAAATATCTCTGCTCGCTGGTGTTTGTTTTGGCAGTGAAAGCTATGCCATGGTAATGGATGTGAAATATTTTAAATACTAGGTCACATAAGAAGAATTTTATTTATTTAGTGCTTGTTTTCCCAAGCACTAAACAGTGTAGAGCAATTCCAAATGGTCCTTTGATTCCATGAACAGTGCAAGAAAGATGAAAGAAAAATTAAGTTCAACTTCTCACCTGGTAGTAGGCTATGGTCCTGCACTCAGAACTACTTCTGACAATCAAAGATAAAAGTAGATACAGTTTTAATAACATTATTATTAGAGAAAACATAATGATTTCTTCCTGGCTTTGTAAGTAAATAGATAGAATTGAGAGGAGTCATTACATTTTTCTACTCAATCAACTGAAATGTCAATTATAGTGTGGTTAAACTCATAGACTCTGGGACCAGATTGCCTTGGTACAAAGCCCGTTTTTTTTCCTTTTCAACAATTATTGGACAGATTCATTAACCTCTCCCCATCTCAGTAAATGCAGTAGTACTACTTCATTAAATAATTAGAATTTAATCATTAGAATTAAATGAGTTAATGCACAGAAAATACTTAGAAGAGTGCTTAGTACATAGAAAGTGAGTGAGTGAGTGAGGTGACGGCTACTTCAGGCTGCCATTTGATCAGGATCCAGTGTCCAGCCTTGGACTAAGACCATCATTTGCAACCATCATCAGCAAGGTTCAAGAGAGTGCCAGTGTCCTCAAACTGAGACTGCCCTTTGCAGGACTCCTCATCTCAGTAGGAGCCAGGTATGAGGCCCTGAACAGTTTCTGCTTCTGGCAAGACACCCCCCTACCTCCCTCTCCTAAACTCACAACCTCTCAACTACTTTATGCTTTTAGTGCATGAGAAATAATGTCTTGATGCCCTTCATCACTGTCCATGTATTCCCAGGCCTTTCTCATACTTGGGCCTGTAATTCAATAAGACTCTAAACATTGCCTTTTCTGTCCTCACCTCTCCCACCCCTATCTACTGAAACTCTAGAATTCTGTATGAATCATCAATAAATCTTCTTTATCTTCAATCTCAACTATAAACTTTCTCTTCTTTTTTTCTGTAACCAAGACCTGGCATTCAAGCTTAAGTCTACTACTATTTCTTATTATACCACAGAATTAATAACTCATAATCAACATGGTTAAGAAGAATCTTCAAGTCTTTTCTACATTTCACATCAGCTTACCCATCACATCTAAGTTTTTAAATACTTATTCAACTCTGTTTAAATAGCTTCAGTCATGATGTATATTCTTTGCTTCTTCAATTGGTTGATTATTAATAATCACATTACATAATCATATTCACATGATTCCCCAACACTCAGCAATGTTTCTTCTTTTAATGTGGGAGATCCTTTGATCTTAAATTCTTATTCCTGTGGCCTAATGCAAAGGTTGCTCTCGTAGATGGGAGATATCCCTTTGCTTTCCTTCTGGAAGGAGATAAAGATATGTCTGTGGATAAATCCACATTAAAGGAACCTGAGAATTAGCGAGTTTTGAGATTTCTGTTGCTAGCTTTTTGAACATATTTTATCATTTATCTAGTGTAATATTATGAACATATTAGAATAAGAAATATCCATAAACATACTGGTCACAGAAATAGTGGATATAATTTCTTCATCTTATTTTTTTTCTTTTTCTTAAGTAAGACTCTTTTGTGTAACTTTAATGTAAGAATTGAAATAAAATTATTTGCTCTGGAGAAAAATTTATAAGTTTATTTAAATCACAGATCTCCAGAGTAGGGGCTATAAGATTAGAGCTTTTTCCATAATGTTGAAAACCAGAGTCTTAAACAGAGGGTCCCCAATTTTTTTTCTTTTTTTGGTTCACAAAGACTTTAGTGTCTCAGTAACCTTTTTATGGCACTCCAAAAAATATACCTAATGTTTCTGTTTATTACAAAATCCAAATGACATAATACATATCTTTGTTCTAACAGCCTGGTATCTTTTGGACATGAACTTCTCAAACTTTGGAATCAGATTGGACACAACCATTATCATATTGTGCTCCACATAAATTTTGCATGAGATTTGCATTTTAACAGCAGTCACTGAAAACTTAGCCTTTTACGATGTCATTAAAAGGAATGCAGTGATCTAATGCTGACGTTGTGAATTACTTCATAGTGGTTCACAGTGTCCAACAGGTACAGATGGTATTTGGAATCTGATTTCCATTCTATGTATAAACTTAGCCAAGTTATTTAACTTTACTGAGCTCCAGTTTCCTCACCTGCGAAATAAGATCATCAAATCTACACACAGCATTTTATAGGGACTAATTAGTGGAATCCCTTGCATAGTAAATATTTGGTACATGGTCACTATTATTCAAGGAACATTTTAGCTCACTAAAGATTAGTGAGAATTACTGAACAGTTGAAGATTTTATTTGCATCTAGAATTGATGACCAAGTAGTATGATAGTGGTTACTATCATACTATAATATGAGAGTGGATATTTGAAATAAAATTTTAAATTAGTAGGAATATTTCAGAAGCTATCAGAAACCAAAATTTCAGTAATGGAACTATTAGATTTAGATTTCAGTTTAAGTTTTTCTACTCATTAGTAACTTGGCCTCCCTTTTCTCATCTTCAAAATGGTGGAGATAGTATCATGATGGATGTAGTATTAGGAGTAATTTCCATTTTTTTAATAAAAGTAAAAGATACTCAGTAAGTGTGAGTTTTCTTTCCTCTTGTCTTTCAGAGACTGTTTTTCCACTGAGACCTAATTTTACCAGGTTTGGTGTTCTTTAGGGGATCCCGAAGGGGATATTTTCTCTATAATCCTAATCACTGATCATTCCTATAAGGTTAACAGAAGAAAACACTGCATTTTATTCTTCAGCCACACTGTGGGATGATGGAATAATAGTGCCACAAAATTGTTGAAAGGTAGGCTAACTTTGTTGTCTATTGGTGCTTTCTGGGTTAGAATACAGTAAAGAACTCTGTTTAGATTGTCATGAGGCAGTTATCAGCTATTAATTACCTTTTAATATTGTCAAATGTTGTATTATCCTTTCTTCTTGGCTGTGATAAATATAAGGTGCCCAAAATGGAAAAAAATTTGACTCCAAACAATTGACTCCAAGTTTATTTAAAAATAACTACTTATTAACAGGTTTATTTGTCTTAATTGAATTTTTTCCTTAAAAAAGATTTATTTGTTTATAGATGGGACATAGTTCTGTAGATCCCCTTAAAGTTCTCTAGAAAGAGGGTTCCTTATTTTTTTCAGTCTGAATTCCTGTTACTCCCTCTTTCCTGACTTAAATCTCCCTTATTTTAATTTAAGGTTTTAAAGTTCACATTCCATCTTTGGACTTAAAAAGCATCCCCTAAGCCTTTCTGGTATAATAATATTGGCAATGACTGTATAGATAATCCCAATTTTGGTGAAATGGTATTGGTAGAATGTTATTTTAGTCAGATCTGCCTCTCTCTCTTCTTAACACTATAACGATCTCCAGAGAGAATAGTTCTAAGAATGGGATCCTATGACAGGAGGAGAGATGGGCACACCAAACTGCATGACTGCTTATGGAAAATTAATGGAAAGAAGGCAGGGAATGATTGGCAAGTGTAGGAAGTGGCAATTTTAGGAGTTCTCTTAAATTTGGAGACTTTAATAAGTATAACACTTAGTAATTGCTTAGTCATTTATTTGGCATTTTAAAAATAAATGAATAAATAGTTTTCTTTGTGGAATTATGTTCATGTTTCATGTCTAGAGATAAAAAAACAATGGACTGGTGTTTATCTATAGTCACATATTCCATGTTATTCTTTGGTAGTTTTCCTTTTCTTTTTTTTGAGATTTCTAGTTCTATCCAGAAATTACTCACAAGGAAATAATGATTACATTAAAAATCCACAGGGGGAAAAAATGATGAGAAAGACAAGTACTCAAATCTAGTAGTTCAGCTTAGATGAGTTCTGTTCAATTTTACTTTATAATTTCCACTTTTCTGTAATTTTAGATTTTCTTTGAAAAGTGTATTTTATTATGTGTTTATAATTTAAAAAATAAATTTGCATTTTATCTAAATAAAAAAATCAAATGGATGCATCAAGTACCCTGGTCAGTCTGTTCCTTCAAGCTTTTTTTTACCTAGTTAAACACAGTGTTGATCATTTTAAATACAATGATATGTAATACTTTTGAGCATAAAATAGATACCAGGATTAATATATAGAATAAACCTTTTTGTCAATCTTCTTGTTTTCCCAACGTGTAGCATAGAAGAGAGTAATTTTAAAAACAAAAGTGCTTAAATTGCATTAATATCTAAATGCTAATAATTTAATATTTCTCTCTCTTTGGTCAGGTAATTACACAGTGCTTAAATATAATTAAACAGAAGAGGCAACAAAGTATAACACCCAATATTATCTCATACTCCAATTTTAAGTAGAAATTATATTTTTAAGTATTTTATCCTCTGCTTTTCAAAAAATTACAATCACTACTATATGTAGCTGCTTTGATGTTATATAAGGTTAAAAAAAATAACTTAATCTCCAAGATGTTACTTGGTTGAGCGCCTTCAGTTGAGTGGAGATAGGTTTCCTCATTTAAAAATCAGGAATAGTAGTAATTGCTTATATTAAATGAAAATGTTAAAGTTCATAAAGCTTGAGAATCTTTGAGTAGTAATATATATGTGCATACAATTATAGCGATCACTCTTAGATGATAGTTTCCAGTTTGAAAAAGAGTTTGGTTTGACATTTAGTAACTAAGCCATTCTGCATGATACTGCCTTAGCAGCAAAGCCTCATACAATCAGGTATAGAGAACTTTGGCTTTTAAATGTTAAAAAATTATTGGAACAGATAGGTACCTAAAATACACTTTTATAACAGGAATAAAAAGTTTAATAAATTCACATTCATTTTCTAATTGCTTGCTAACTATACAGAGTTCTTTAGTTATGGTCTGTCTCCCAGAGAGCCTGCTTTTCTAAACAGATACTTTTTTAAAAACAGCAATTAATTGCTCAACTCTGTGCTTTTCATAAAATATTGCAAAATAGTGTACATCTGCAAGTGAAAACCATATCATACAGCAGGCTAAAACTGAACAGAATTTGATTGCAGACCTTACAACGTTTTTCTTGGTCTTGTCACTAAAAACATATCTTGCTAGGATTTTTTGAAGAGTCCATGAAAGGTGACAGGGATGTTAACCTCCACTTCGGCCCTGGCAACTTCACTCAAGTCCTTGGCATTCAGAATCAGGAGATAAGCGGGCTTTTGTCCTGCCCCAGGGCTCACCACCACACTCAGAACTACACCTGTTAATCAGAAGTAAATAAGGCAATGCTGAATTTAAAAAATTGCCCAGGGCCATAGATTAAATGTCACTGAAATAATATAGGAAGTATTATGTTGACAATTAAAAAAAAATCTTATGACTTGATATCTTCTTTTGACTCTTCCACCACCTTATTGTGTGACCACCCATAAGTTGTCTTTTAAATTCTTAATGTCCCCTAGACTATAACCTTTAGGAAGGAAGTGCCATATCTGTCTTGTCCACTGTCATATCCCAGTAGCCTACTGCAGTGATTAGAAAATAGAAGGTATTAATTAAATTCTTATTGAATAAATTGATTCATACTCTTATCTATAACATAAGATTTAGCATCTCCTCTACCTACTGCAAAAGAAAAAAAAGTGTTGTGACAAATGAAAAATGTATACTAAAACACTTTGACAATAGCAAGGTATATAATTCCTATAATTTTCAAAACCTAGCTGGAAGCTTACTTCCTTCAAACAAAATAAGAACAAGCCTTTTTTATTTTCACTGGATGGACTGTATGTGTACAAAATTTAGCATGAAATGGCTCTATAATTTTTTATTTCATTCATTCCTCTGTGGTTTTTTATATTTTAATCCCAGAGAGTGTAATCTACTTTCCTATTACAGCTAAATAGTTAACTAAGATCGATGCATTGTTTTATATCCTGTGGCTCTGGTCCTGTTCTAGCCCCAGCTTACTAAAATAAAAAACTAAAGACTAAAACTAGAGTCATAAAGCCACATTCTCGTTCTCTTTGATCTGTTAGATACTCAGTCAATTTCTCTCCTTAGAACTCTCTTGTTTTTCAGAAACATATCTAGGTCAGGAAAGGCAAATATCTAGAATTCATGCTGCTCTTTCCTCATTATGTTCCATCATGACTCCTGATGGAACTTTAGCATTTTTTTCCAGTGGTACTCAACAAGACCTGACCACAAGATGAAACTTCTTTTTGAATAAGTTTACATTCTTTAGTGCTGTCCCACTCAGTAGTCTTAAGGATCAATTTTCAACATTAGGGAATATTTATTGTGACTCCCTTCCTAGTGAACTAATGATATGAACTCCAGTAAAAAGAGAATGTTCAGCTACATGCATTACTTTCATTACCATCATCTTCTTCCAAGGCATCAGGATGAGAAACAAAGATGGGTTCCGATGGGTATGAATAAGGCTCTTGCCATACCCAAGTTTCTTTAGTTTTGACATTCAGCTTACAGAGCTGTTTGTTAAGAAAGAAAAGTCAATTAATTAGTCAATATGCTTTACTTGACTAGCATGTGACTTAAAGTACTGTTCTAATATCAGTAAGATGGATTAATTACCCTGTCTGGAACAAAGTGATTCAAGCCAAGTCCATATGCGTATGTATAAGGTTTCCCACCATACTTCTGATAATTGATTTGAGGAAACTCAAATGCTGCAAAATAGAGCACATGCTTATGTTAACCTTTTTGAATGGAACATTTTGTTTCCTCTCATGTGAGGTTTTTCCCTAAATCATCTCACCTTGGCGAGGCCCCGAAAAGAGAACCTCAGGTTCCAGCCAGATGGTCTCATCACTGCACAGAATTGCAGTGGCAGTTGTGTTGGGCAGTGAGACTAAATTCTTTCCTGTGTCAGCCTAAGAAAGAGGATAACAGAAACTTCTGTGACCAGAAAAGTGAAATCAAGCAGCCATATGGGCAGTCTTCCTGAGTTTTATCTCCTGAGTTCTTTATTTCTTAAGTTAACATGGAAGGAGGAGTAGTTCAGAAAACTCTAGAGGAGGGAGGCCAGGAACATGGCTGGGAAACCGTCTGTGCCTGTGTATACACCAACTGTGTATCACTGGGAAAGTCACATAACCTCTTAGGCCCTCAATCTTCTTTAAAATGAGACTGTCCTCAAAGAAAGAGGCATCTGAGAAAGGGCCTCTGGGAAAAAAGCAAACAAACAGTATTTTCCTGTAGAACAACCAAGACTTCAATCCCCTAGGGATCCATTTATAGCATTTATCTCCCTTATAGTTAGGATGTATTTTGATTTTGTTTGGAAAATATTATATGGTTATATTACCAAAAAGAAAAAAATAGAAGAAAAACTACTGTACCACATGTTTTCTAAGATCTCTTGTCATCCTCTGCCCTCACGTGATTTTTTAGATTATTTATGAGAGGAATGGATGTCGTGAACATATTCATTTAGTAATACCTGTATTAAATATTTGAGTACATATTTTATGGTAGATTCTATTCTAGGCATTTGGGATATTTCAGAGAATAAAGTTCCTGTCCTCATGAAGCTTACATTATACTTTGGGGACATAAATAATAAGTATAATGAACAGGTAAAGTATACAGTATGTTATGAAAGTGGGGAGAAAAAATAGAGCAAGATAACGGGGATCAGAACGGTGAAGGGTAGTTGAGTTGTAATTTTTAACAGGTGGTCAGAGTAGACTTCATTAAAAGTGAGACAAAACTTGTAGGAGATAAGGAAGTTAGCAATTCAGATATCTGGGGAAGAACATTTAAGCAGAGAGAATAAACAGTGCAAAGGCCTGATGTAGGATTGTGCCAAATATGCTTGAAGAACATGAAAGAGACTGCTGTAGCTGAAATTCACTAAATGTGGGGAGAGGAGCAGGAGAGAAGGTTAGAAGGATAACTGGGCCAGACTGTGTAGAGCCTTAGAGGTCATTGTGAGGACTTTTTTCTGTGAGTGAAAAATGAGAAGCTATTGGAGGGTTTTGAGCAGAGAAATGACATGCGATTTATTTTTAAAGAATCACTCTAGCTGTCTGTCGAGACTTACTTTGGGAGGAGGGGGATGCAAAAGTGGAATCAGGGAAACCAGTTTGTACTGTAGTAGTCCAGTCAAAAGAAAACAATGATTCGGGCTAGGCTAATAGCATTGGAGTCAGTGAGAAGTGAAAGGAAGAGCCAAGAGGATTTCCTGATAGACCGGATATGAATGGGGAAGAGTCATGAAATTAAGAGAGGAGTCGAGGATGATGTCAAAGGCTGGAATTGTCACAACAAAACTGGGGACTACTGCAGGTAAATTTTTTGGTGGAGGAAGAGGAGAAATTTAGGTTTTGTCTTAATAAACTTGAGATATCTATTGGACATACAAATGGAGACATAGAGTTGGCAGTAATATATGTGAACCTTTAGTTGAAAGGGAAGTCGAAAATGTAAATGTAGGCTTCTTTGAAGCATGAGTCGTTACAAAGGGAGTGAATGTACAAATAGAAGAATAAAACGAAGGGCTGAGTTCTGGTGCCCCACTTACCAACACTAAGAGGTCTACGGGAAGAGAAATGAGGGACTAGTTGTTGAGGGCAAGAGGAGTCAAGAGAAGGATTTTGTAAGAGAGCAATTATATGAGTGAGTCAATGAAAAGGGGAGAAGAGTGATGATTTAGGAGAGAGGGGGAGAACTGCTAGAGTGATGTCCTTGAGTGGGTGAGGGAAGATGAGAAGGACTAGTCCTGGATAAGACGATGGATAATTTGATATAAGTACAGATGCTGGTGGGTGGGTAGATGTGGTGGCAGAAGTCTACGTTCTTTTCTGATTTTTTTTTTATTTGTTTCAGTGAAATAGGAAGCAGAGCCATCAGTTGACTATGAGTGTGGAGGTGGGAGGTGTTAGAAGTTTGAAGAGAGGAGGGTGTGAAATATTTAACCAGGAAAGTGGGAGAGTAAATGAAGTTGGAAAATGTAACAGTAAGATTTGTGGTGATGTATTTAAAAATGGGCCAATTAACATGGTTCTGTGTTTTCAACACAATTTCACCCTCAGAGGTACAAGCATGGAGCCGATGGAGAGTTTAATTTAACTAGGGCTGCAGTTTTGACAAACAAGTTGATAAAATAAGGAAGAGGCAAGAGAATGAGAATCTATACAAGGGGATAGTTATAATTATTGACTATGGAATTTAAATTGAGTAAGGAGGGAAGGTAAGTCCTTAAGGGAATAAGGGATAGTAGGAAGGTAGGAGGTTGGAGGTTTCTAGTGAGAATTTCAGTAGAGCAAGTGATCTTGAAAGAGGTAGTAGTCAGTGTCATTCATGAAACTAAGAGTATTGATGAAGCACATAGAAGTCATAGGTAATGGTAAGGTCAAGGGCATGACAATGGGGAATGAGGGGCTGAGATAGAATGGAAAATAGTATCAGTGGAAGAGGTAAAGGAACTGAGAGGCCAGCTTGTTAGAAGAATCACCTGTGACATGTATCTTTAAATCACAGGGAGTCAGGTATAGATCTGGGAAGTGTGACATTGACTCAGGAGAGGGAGCGGTGGTTAGTAGAGAGCAACAATGAGGGTGTATATATGTATATGTGTAGATGCTACTGGCTACTTGATGAGCTAAAATATAATTAAAATTGGGAGATTTTAAAGGTGAATGGAAAGAGCAATGATCTGAAAGCAGTGAAATAGAACAAAGAGGACACCTACCCAAACTCCAGGCTCAGTCGTACAAGGGTTATAGGAGGAGAAACTGTCTTCTCTGGAAATTGCTGCTGAAGAGACCAGTGTTTTGGGGAGAGAGTCAGATTTTTGTAAAAGAAAGAAGGTAGCTGAGAGTCAGATTTTTGTAAAAGAAAGAATATTTGGATAGAGGAAATTTTTCTGGTAATGCTTTATGAATTAAGAGGAAATAGTGAAAGATTTTTAGGATAAGGAAGGGGTGAAAGGGGAGGGGAAAATGAAGTTGTGGATTTTGTGAGATTTTGTAAAATGGGGCTTGAAGTCACTTTGTGGTGATGGGAAGAAGAGAGTGGTGTGTGTGTGTACATATGCTTATTTATATATGCATACTTATTATATGCAAATGTGACTGTGTGATTATGTTTAATTATTTTACTCTGTTTTATCTTATTTTTTCTTTTATTAAATTAGGTTTTTAATGTAAGAAATCTGTAGCATTATCTTTGCTTTCCTCAACAAATGGCTCTTCCTTTTGACTGTACTTCCCACTTTTTTTCTTTAACAAATGCACTTATCCTTTAACTTAGCAATGTCAGTTCTGAGAAACTATCCTATTCATATATTTGTACATATGTGAAATAACATACATACAGAGTTAATCCTTGTGACATTATCTATAATAGGCAAAGACAGAAAACAACTCCTGCTCAGTAGTGAGAGATGTTCACAAAAAGAATACCATGCAGTTGAAAAAAGTGAGATCAGAATATATTAAGTGAAAAACAAAATAGAAAACAAAACAGTGAATAGAGAAGGTTATTTTTTGTGTAAGAGAATGGGAAATAATAATTATATATATTTGTATTTTCTTATATTTACATAAACAAAGGAAAAGCAATGACAAAGTTACACATAGAAGTGAAGGGGAATGGTATGGAATGGGTGCAGACAGAGGTTGGAGTGAAACTTCCCAGTGTACACCTTTATATCATTTTTGATTTTGATTTAAATGTACTGCTCATTCAAAAATAATACTGACATATTTTAAAGATATCACCATTATCTTAATCAGTAAACCAGAATCTTCAGTCATTTTATACTCTTTCTTCTCCTTAGCCCTTCTCTCAATCTATTTATTATCTCTCCTTCTCCTAATTTATGACCTTATTTTCCTGTCATGGCTAAACTTTAAAAAGTGTAGCATATAGTAACTGCTCCCCATTCTCATCAGTTACTCATCTTTAGTACCTTAAAACCTGATTTTTGCCTCTTTCACACTACTCCCCTAGAGATCACCAAATCCGGTGTTTTGTTCTGAGTCTTCATCCTTTTTAACTTGTCTATAGCAGTGGGGACCCATGAAATCTTCGCTTGTCCTCTCCTATGTATCATCACCTTCTTAGCTATAACTAGGCCTCTTTGGTGCCTTTTTTTCTTCCTTTTAACAAGATGTGTATCCTATTGGTATACCCCCTGAAACAACTGGTACGATGCTGTGTTATGGTGGTTACCTAATAACTATTGGAAGAAAGAGAAGACAGAGTGTAGTGCGGTGACATTAGACATTTTTCATTATCACTGAAGTTCCCCTTTCTATAATTGGGTGGTTTTTCTTCATGCAATGATGACTACACATTTAGAAAAATCCTTCCTTTTTCTTATTTTTTGGAATGTGGAGAGAACAATATTGGAGAGACATATAAGGGTAAATTCAGAGTGCTAAAGGTACTGAGACCGATCTCTCTCCTTGATTTCTCTTCTGAGTGCCAGACCCATATATACCAGCTGACTAGTGAACATTTATCCTGGGATGACCAGTGGATGCCTCAAACTCAACGTATATAAAATCAATCTTACTCTTTTTCCTGTAAACCAGCTCAGCTAATTGTACTATCATCCACTCAACCGCTCAAGGCAGAAATCTGGAAGTTGTTCTGATCTCCTTCTTCTCTCATTTACCCCTCACAAATGATTAGACCAACTTCTGGTGATTTTATCTCTTAAATATTTCTCAGTATCATATCTTTCTTTATCTCTTAGTTCCTATTTTCTTAATTCAGACATTTATCCTCTTTTATTGCCCTATTGCAGTAGTCCTCTAATAGAGCTTTTAACTTTTAGATTCTTCAATTTCCAAATTGTCCTCCATAATACCGCTAGAGTGACCTTTCTAAAATATAAATTTGATCATATCTCCCACACACTTAAAATACTACAATGCTTCCTTATCATTTATATAATGCCCAAAGTCTATAAAGCCCCATACAATATCACTCCAACCTATCTTTCCAGTCCCTCTGCCCAATGCCCATCTCCCCTATGCTCTGAATGAACATAGCAACTACTTTACATTTCCACATTATGTTTGATTTTTTAACCCCTTCTTGCCTTTGGAGAAGCTCTTTAACCAAATTGTAATGCCCTACATCAACCTCCTTCCCCCTTTCTCATTCTTCATAGAGCTTTTAAACTTGCTTAAGAGCAGTAGTGTATGATTCTAAATTGGGTTTATTCCCCACTAGCTGATCTAAGCCTTGGGTATAATGTTTTATCCTCGTAGCTGCCTCAACTACTTTTGTGTATATATTTCATATATACATAGATAAGAGTATATATTCATGTATCAATTGTAAAAATTATGAATATTTTTTAAATTTTGACTGTCATTCTAGCACACTAAAAATTCTTGATGTTATTCTGATATTCTAAAAAGATAGTCCCTGATTACAGGGAAGAAAAAGCAGAAGTAAGGAGAGATTACTATTTAATGCTATTAATGATTTTTACCATCTAGTAATATTTTCAGAAGATTAGTAGAAAAACCAAAATAATGGGCTGATTTCCCTACCAGGGTACTTTTTGATGCTTCATCTCTCTAGTATTTCAAATTATTTAAATTAAATTACTTATATTATTGACAAAGGATCCTAGGAACCAGTGGTGTGCAGTATTCACTGAGAAAGTATATTTTTTAAAGATTTTATAAATGAAAGAATAACAGATTTAGAATCATAAATCCTGGTTTTCATTCTGGCTCTGCTGCAGTTGACTTTTGCTAAGTCACATCACTCATCTGAGTTTCAGTTTTCTGTAAACTGAGGGAGTTGAATTTGTTTATTTTTAAAGTTCCCCCAGCTCTGAAATTTCAAGTCTCTATGTACAAATAGAAAGCAGGTGAACAAATCCTGGGAGAGATGAAACATTCTGGTTTTATCTGAAATCTATATACAGAGTGGTTACCTTGTCAATATTCAGAGGAAGCACATATCTCCTAACTTCAGGCTGGGGAGCCTTTCTGGCATTTTTTTTCACTTCTTCCCAGTTCTCACGTAAATTGGCTAAATATAAGTAATTATAAACAAATTCAAATCTGCAAAATAAAAGTCAAATATGAGCACACACAATTACAAATTATTTTAGAGCGATGATTCAAGCCATTTAAAAGCACAAGTGCCTGCCTGTTCTTTATTCCCCAACCCAGAAACTGCTAAGGATCCAGGTATATTAGAGCCATTTCCTCCTGTCTACCTGGATGAAAAAAAAAGAAGCCTGCTTCCTGGATATGTTTAAATAACAGCAACCTTTCATGCTTTCTATTCTGCTTCTCCATTACCATTCTGTCTGTGTCTTTAGCAGCTACTGTCTTTAGTAACTTGGCTATTTTGAAGAAAATATGCCTTTCTCCCAAACCAAGAGGTTTGTCAATGTTTGTCAAGTTCATGTGAAGTTGGGTTTAAGTTTGAGTTTAAGTTCACTTATCACGTCACTTATCTTTTCAGGTCTGGTTAATAGACCTGATCAGTTTATAATCATTAACTATGGTTTTGATGTTCAGTTGGTGAGTGTTTTCTGACTACCTAGACTCTACAGATTTCTCAATGGTATCTTAAGACTTACACATACTTCTTGCTTTTAAAAATGTAATTCAGGTTAAATATTGAGAGCAGCACCTCTGAAAAAGGCCCCTAATTTTCAGAAGCAACTGAAGATGTAACATTCATCCATTGTCTTTTCTTACCCTTTCCAGCAACAGAGATCCACAATCAGAAACTCATTGTCTTCAAAGGTATTGATGTGATGGAAAAGGTTAAAAGGAGAGGTCCTGTATTTATTATTGAGATACTTTCTTCTTTTTTTGTCAGCAACATGAAGCCAAACCTTAAAAATGAGAAAAATATTTTGATGCTTTTAAAAAGAAAAAAAGTGTGCATTATGAAACACATCTTCTTCAGGATCACAAACCTGACAAAATAAATGTAAGACTTACCCCCATGGTTTCATTGGACTCAAAACAATCCATGTAGTTGGCTCCCCAAAGACTCCATGAAGAAAGAAACTTGAACAGGTTAATTTTGACTGGTGTCTCCACAAAAACAATGTAGTTGGGAGTCAAACCAAAACTGTTTAAAAACACAAATGGCCTTGTGAATGAAAAGAGCTGATTCTCAAACCACAAAGATATGTGTATACACAAAGTATGCTCAGTTATATGAATCAACAGTGCCTACATGAAATTAATTATGTTTAAATTTAAGTTTCTGTAAGAAAATGTGATCAAAATTGGTATCAAAGGTAGGCAAAGTAAATCATTAAAATTGAGTTTTCCTGAAGATTTATAGCAGGCCTTCAAAATTACCTATGGACGTAAGATGGCTTGAATCGGTCACTGCAGGGGAATTGTACAACGATCTCTGACTTGCTTATTGGATCTTCCTTATCTGAAATAAAGTGATTTTAAAGGGCTTTGGAAGAGCCTTTTTTTTTTTTTTTTTTAATACAAAGAACTTAGAAAAGCTTATGA